ATATAAACCTGAACCAATCAGATTGTTCGGGCCGGCAAATTTAAAGTCTTGTACGGACCAGTCATAAAAATGTAATTGATGCAGTAAAACAAAACGACCAATTCAAACAACATTACAACACAAGATGTAAGACACTAAGGAGGTAAGGACACTTTTCACTTACTCGACCTAAACACATCATGATCAGTCAGCGAGATCTTTCCTTGAATAAGATTTCTCTGCTGAGCGAGTCGCTCAAAGCAGTTATCGATTGTTTTCCTTTAAACGTTTCTGAGACATTTCTAACAGAAGTGTTGAACTGTATTTTTGACTTGTGATAATTTTATTCCTTCAACATGGTAGAATATCAACGTCTTCGTCAAGAAAACGAACGTGTAGTTAAATGTGGCAGAAGGGCTGAAATGCAATGTCACTTTTCTGATCAAGAGTGAAATAAGACGGTTGAATTCACTTTATGTGAGCTAGGTTTTTTGGGACGTGAAACTGTAAATCTATGAAGCGTGGAATCAAACTACTCCACGGCAGGGGAAAATAGTTTCCGGTTATTCTATTGATATTGAACAACTGACTGTTGCATTTATTCATTCTTTGTCAGACGTATGCCCCAGTTATATTGACTCGAGTTCTTCAAACATCCTACATTCGTTTGAAACTGTTACCTCTTGTGAACTAGACAAACACGTGCGGTATCTCAAGGTGTCGACCGCACACGGCCCAGAAAACTCAAGCCCCACACTTCACAAGCACGGTTCTGTGCCGCTTCCTCACATTTTTGCATACATAGCAANCGAACTATTCCGGAGTGTTGGCTAAGGATGAGAATTACATCCATCCCCAAACGAACAACAAGGGCCCAAACTACGAAACGTCTCAGACCAATTGCTCTCACTTCCCATGGATTAAAATTGATGGAGCGATCAGCTCTGCATCGCCTTCAGTTATCTCTCATCACTCCCGATGACATTTCTCAGGGTTCAGTTCAGTTCAGTTTGCACAGGACGAATGTGGCTCTTGCCAATCGAGCGTCCAGTTCAGTGTGTTGTCGGCGGGTGGGATTAGCTTCCAACACGGCGTATTGGGTATTTGTGATCCTCTCAATTTAGCCCCGTTTTCAGAATGTTGACTCCTTGGGGGTATGCCGAAAGGGAGGAAAACAAGCAAGGATATCTCCTTGCCTCATTGGTTAGAAACCTCAAGTACACATGCGTTTGCGTACACAGATAACATGTGACAGGACAGTCAGTTTGAGAACAATTCCAACATGAAACCCAAGTTTACTCAATTTGACAAAATTTCGGCTAATGTGGAATTTATTCATGATATTCCAACTCTAAATACTAACTGCTGGGAACGTTGCTGACCAACATGCGTCCAGGGCCACCTTGAAGACGTTAACATTGGCGCAGTTGACCACTTCTGCGGGTAACCTGTTCCACATAGGTATGACCCTGTTTGCGAAGAAGTTAATCCTAATTCCTACCTGGCGTGGTTTCGTTGAAGTTTATAGCCATGACCTCCGGTGTATTAAGCACGAAAAATCCTAAACAAGTCATCTAGGCTGAGTCCCGATGGACCTCTTACAATTTTAAAAGTCTCTATCAGATCTCATCTCACTCGTCTACGCTCCAGCGAAAAGAGATTAGGATCTCTTAACAGCTGCTTATAGCTTTCCCCTTTTTGCCCAGTCAGCATTCGTGTGGCTAGGCGTTGCACTCTTTCTATACATGTTACATCCCTCCTGTAATACGGTGCTCTTGCCTGCGCACAATACTCCATGTTGGGCGAACAATCGACTTATACAGTGGGACGAAAAACTCAGGCCTTGTGCAAGTCACTGTGGCACACAGCCTGAACAGCTGCCCCCTAGCCTGATTAGCAGCCTTGGAGCACTGGATTGAGGGTTCAAACTTTTGGCTCATAAGAACCCCTAGATCTTTCATTTGCGGACCGGCTGCATGGGAGCACCATTAATCGAGTATACCTCAGCTCTCGTTGCTAAAAGCCGACACTTGCTTAGATTCAAAGGTAGGTCCCACTTGACCGACCATCGATGAACTACCTCTAGGTCCCTTTGCAGGTTTTACCCTGTCCTTTTGACATCATCAGCAAACATCAAACACTGATTTTGAAGATCCTGTGCCAGATCGTTAATGAATATTAGAAAAAGTAAGGGGCCTAGCACTGAGCCCTGGGGAACCTCTCTTGTAACCATCTCATGGTTAGATATGTAGTCACCCACCATGACCCGGAAGGTGCGATTGTTCAAAAAGGCTACAATCAAGTCCATAACTCTACCTGTTATGCCTAGGTTCCTAACTTTTAAGTCCAACAATCGATGGCTGACAGAGTCAAATGCTTTACAGAAGTCTAAGTAACGAACTTCTTCATTTTTCCCCTCATTCATACGTCGAGTGACTTCATCTGGGAACACAAGTAGATTCGTAAGACATGATCTCCGTTGCACAAAGCCATGCTGTGCTGGTGTCAGGAGTCGATTGCTAGTCAGATGTAGGCAAATCTGCTTTCTGATCAGTCGCTCCAGGCACTTACACAGCACTGACGTTAAGCTAACGGGTCTATAGTTTTCTGCTTTGTGTTTCGGCCCAGCCTTGTGCAATGGTACTAGGGTAGCTGTACGCCAGTCCTGGGGTAGAGTAGCAGTTTGCACTTATTCTCTAAAAGGTACAGTCAGCGGCCCGGCTAGCACCCCGGCCAGCGGCTGCACTATGGCTGGATGGATTCCATCCGGACCTGCTGACTTGTGCTTGTTCAGCGTGTGGAGTTCTCGATGTACATCAGTTTCACAGATGGCAATTTCGGAAACCTCTGAAGTATCAAATGATTTTGTTAAACCCGGGATATCCAAGTTAACTGGATTCCTATAAACACTTTTGAAGAACTTAAGTAGTGTTTCCGGATTATCGCAGTTACATGTAGCTATGCCTCCACCGAGCAAAGCTAGTGCTCCTACACTCTCCCGTATGCGTGCGTTGGCTTGCACGTGCGCGTAGAAGCTTTTCGGGTCCTTTTTGATTCCTCGCGCTAAGTTAAACTCGAAATCGTATTTGGCACGTTTTTGGAGATCTTGACATCTGTTGCGCGCCCGCTTGTAGTCTCTCTACGCTTGCTGAGTGCCGTAAAGCTTAAAGCGTTCCCAGTATTGTCAGCGAATTTTCAGAGTCCTCTCTATCTCGGGTTTCCATCATATTGGTCTATGACGGGTTCGTCCTTCCCTCAGTGGCGCGAACCTTTCCGTGAGGCTAGTTAAACCTCGTTTAACCACGTTCCATCTATCTTGCACGGCACGCTCCGGGGACGTCGGGTACCAGCTGATGGTATTTGCAGCTTGTACCAATTCTGTGACGTTTATGCGACCGTAGAGACGCATGAGAGTAAGTCCGTGCCTAAGATAGCTAACCATTAGTCTAAAGCGAATAACTGTGTGGTAACTTTTGCCCAACGGTTCTTCCATACCCAGTATCTTGTGACAACTAAATCCTGTATCGAGGGTCTCTGTTGTCCACGGTATCTTGTTGCTCTTGTCACATAATGTGTCCGAGCTCTTTTCTTGTAGAAACTGCAAGAATGCAGCTCCTGGGAATCCCGTAGGTGCATACCCCGTTGACCATGCTACCTCTGGGAAATTGAAGTCGCCAGTGATGACAAAGCGACGGTATTTCGCCAGCGTTTGTTGTAGGATTATAAGCAGCTCCGTATCTTCCTCTGGCGTCGTATTAGGGGCTCTATACATGCATGCTACACCCACTTTCTTCCGTCCCAGTTGAATACAGCATCCTGTGGCTTGAGCATTCGGAGTAGCTAACTCCAGCTTTATTTCCCTTTGGTTTAAAGCAGCCTTGACGAGCAGTAGTACTCCTATTTAACACTGTAAAAGATAAAAATAGAACCCAAAAAGTGTCGTGGACAGTAAACAGTAAAACCGTGCAGAAAGCAAAAGGACTCTAGTCCTTAAACCTGACCAAAAAGACTGTGGAGGGACCTTTTAAATGGTCACAACATTAAAAATTCACCTCAGTTGAAACTAAGGCAATGACACTGATGCAGAATATTGCTAGATATTCCACTTAGCACATGAAAATGGATTCCAGTATTGTGACGGTGGTTTCTTTTTGGCTGCAAGCTTGCATATAACTCGCTAAAGCCTCAATACAACACAATACAATGCAATACATTCCGTTCGATTATATATATTCTCCTCCACTGACTATTGTTCTCCCTTGTTCTCGCTGTGTTCTACCTGGTTCTCCGTTGTTTCCTTCTTTGAGTCATAGATTTCTTATGAAATTATTTCATTTTTTTGACCGAGTGTAGGTTAGCGGTGCGCATGCAAACTACAGTGTTAACCCTGTTGGGTACCACTGTTCCTCGATCAGAATTGAACAGGAGGAGCGCATCACTGAGAGTCATGATGTATTCTAGCCGACAAGTTCTTCGTCCAGGTTAACATCCGTTTCAGCATAACAAACCCGCCAGCCCTTGACAGGCAGCATTGTACTGCTTTCCCTCGCGTCCCTGTGTACTTTTGTGTTCACGTTGTTCACCGCTTTTTTTTGTCGGGTTTGCGTTGAATCATGCAAGTATCATAATCATTCACTGTTGTGCCTAACGGTTAATAGGTGTCCAGTACAATCGACATCATCACTATCATCATGATCGTTCGATTTGTCCTTATTATCATTTCCATCTATACCTGTCAGTGCAATTAAATTCGGATACTAATTTTAACGTGCATTCTGTTCCCCCAACTGACTTCATCCAAGTGACTGCACTGGATATCTATCAGTTGGTCTTGCGGATAGCCCGGCGTGTTATACTGATCTCCGGAAGATCCAAATGAGATGGCGGATAGTTTGCACAATGGCTCACAGATGAAGCTGTCATCGAGACGCGAATATGATCCACGTTCACTGTTCACATGATGAAAATTACTCGGTTCGGTTGTGTAGCGTAAGTCGTCGCACAATTTGCCGATCTTTTGCAAACCTTGTGCTCTATATACATACAGTTTCGCTCACGTGATCGGGAGTAATGCCACCGGGAGTGTTTGTATTTGTTTTCAGTATTTGTATTCTGTTGTTTTTTTCTAATTAAGTGAATCAAATCGAATCAAAGTTACATTAGCGCTTTCCGGTGAAACCCGATCCTCGCATGTAACTCACTGGAATGCAAATTTGTCTGGAGTTTTAGAACTCCGTCGATGTGATCCCGTGACATGCAGAAACATGGGTCCGGTATGTGGTTGGTCCTTGTAGTTACAAAGGAATCAGTGATCTTACCAAAGAATCAGCTTACAATGTACCACAACACACCTGCATTTGGAGAACCGTGTAGATGCTGCCCTGAAAATGCAGAACATCATCAGCACCGCCGGAACACTACCTCGACTAGGATACGAACTTGAGAACGATATCCGATTCATAGGTTTGTTCGTTATTTTTCCAGTCACCAGAAGTGAATAGCAAGGAGTGTCCCGGCGAGAGGTTTGAGTCTAAGCCTAGAAATCACAAGAACAAGAAGCTCTGTGACACGCCCGACACTAATCATCAAAAGGTTTGGAAATTTATCTAGTGGACAATAAAGTGCCTGACAAAGCAATGGGACCAAGTAAGTGAACTAAGGCATCACTAAAGGAAGGTAATAGTTCCAGTTGATTAGAATCGGTATTCACAGTAACTACAGAATAATTATTAATCCGAACATGCTGTGGTACTGGAATCAAATTTCCCCGGTCCAAATCATCCAATATGTTTATTAAACAAATTCTCTATTTAGAGTAACAAAGCAGTGCTACCAAAGTCTTCACAATCTATGACACTCTGACGCATGTTGGTCCCGATCACAGTCTCGTTCTCATTTTTGATAGACTGAAATATTGTATTAATATTGTATTAATTACGTATTGACCAAACCATCCCCAACTGCTGGACATTTGAACACAATTAAACAAGCTTTTAAGTGAACGGTTTGAACAGTGATTTCTATTGCAATGAATCCATCATCAGCCGGGCTCTACCAAGTGGTGTACACGAATCGTATTCACGCATTGATACCTGCTGGCATCCAGGACCCTGTTTAGGTTGTGTTGTTTTTTTCTCCCTCCACGCACGGTGGAATAGTCAGGCTGGTGATGGCAAAGGGCAGACGTGCGCGAGTGCATTGCATTTTGTGTGCTCGGTCCATTTTTTTTCTGATTGATGACATGGTTTTCAAACAGGAACATAAACTTGCCTAGGTGTAACATACGTTCGGGTGGGGCACTAATCCACATTGGATTTTGCACAACGAGAGCCTTCAATCTGTTACTGTTGTTCCGTCCAGCTGTCGTCACAATTTTAGTGAGAATTTGAGCATCTTATGTCTCAAGCAAATTGTTATCAACCCCTGCTTAAATAGCATTACGCTAGACGACGTTTTATGCAGTTCTCACTTGTGTAAGTCGGATTTAACCTATTGGGTATCTCATTTACCGCAAGGTCATATCCCCGTGAAGATCACCTATTGCACTGCGAAAACCGAATGAAAATCTGGGTGTTTCATGTTCACCTTGATTTGCGGTGACCTATTTCTTTAGTTCAACTCCGAGGTGGCATTTGCAATCCCGACTGGGCTCGGGGAACAATTTTCTTTAACTGCGCATCTGTTCAGATGTTTCACATGGATTTCGTGTGCTACCAGACTGGGATTATTGGATATTTTTTGTCTTTATTTCCAGATTTACGGTCTGCGTTTTACATTAGAGTATCACTTGCAGACAAGTAAAATCCATCTCTAGAATCGCTGTTGTGTTGAAATTTTTTATTCAACCTTTTTTATTGCACCTTGCCAGGTAAATATTTAGCAAATAAATAGACAACTGATACAGGAGCTAGAGAAAAGTACATAAGTAAATCACAATTATATTATATATTATATATATATATTTTATAATGCAGCGGGAAGTTTGAATATGAAAAGAAACTAGCTAGAAACATCAAAACGAACCCGAAAAGGTTTTTGCGTATGTATAATCCAAGGGAACCACACGTGAAAGTGAGGGAACCTTGGAGATGGCAAACGGTAACATAACTAGCACGGATAAGGACAGGGCTGAGAGGCTGATGGATTATTTCAAAAGTGTGAATCGTCCGTTCCAGGGTAATGGAGTCCGGAACCCTTTGGTGGACACCAATTAAAACAAGCTGCAGATGCTAATCGTGAGGGAGGACCAGGTACGGACCTAGCTCAGAAGCCTGTGCAAGCATAAGGTCGCGAGTCCTGATGAGATCCACCAGGCCATCGTCCAGTCGCTAGCTGAGGTCATACTAGGACCTGTCACTAAATTGTTTAAGGCATCACTGAACTCCGGGGTAGTGTCCTAGGACTGGCGGAAGGCAACCGTCGTAGCAATATACAAGTCGGGGTCCAGACAAGAGGCGAAAAACTACAGGCCGATCAGCCTAACATCAGTGCTGTGCAAATGCCTGGGATGAATAGTCAGAAGACAAATCCGTACGCAACTGGTGACTCATAGACTTCTATCTCCTGCACAGCACGCGTTTACCAAAAATAAATGGTGCTTAACCAATCTACTTATGTTTATGGACGAAACTACATGTCGTTTAGATCAGGGTAGGGCAGTGAGGTATGCTACTTAGACTTCAGCAAGGCTTTTGACTCGGTGAGTTTTACGTTGCTTGACCAGAAACTACCAACGTTTGGAATATTCGGATCAGTGCATCGGTGGTTGAAGCAATTCCTCAGCAACCGTAGCTTTGTTGTACGGGTTGGCAACTACACATCGAGATCAGAGAGGGTTACAAGCGGGGTACCCCAAGGCTCTGTTCTTGGACCCCTACTTTTCCTTCTTTTCATCAACGACCTCGCGCTAGAATTATACAACTCCTGCTGCGTCTTTGAGGATGATGTGAAGATAGCGGGAGAGAACTTGACCCAGGACTTAGATGCTGTCCGCAGCTGGTCGGCTCGTTGAGATTTACCCTTGAATCTTGCCAAGTGTCAGCTACTGACTACTAATGTAGACTCAACCTGGAGCGCAGAGCTACGAGGTATGACAGAGGTTAAAGACCTAGGAAGAATTGTCACAAAAAACTTCCGGCCTACTAGACAATATCAGGTGGCTGCTAATAAAGCAAGACGAGTATTTTCAGACTGTCACAGTCACCTGCAGGAAGGCAGAAGTGTTCGTTCCACTATACAAGGCAATGGTGTGTCCACTGCTGGAATACAGCGTGCAAGGTCGGACCCCATACTATCGCAAAGATATGGAGTGCGTAGAGAGGGTGCTACGATTGACAACCAGAATGATCACTGGATAAGTAGGAAAGAGCTACTCGCAGCGTCTGAAGGACCTGAGTCTTTTCTCGCTGTCACGCAGAAGGACTAGGGGCGACTTGACTGAAGCCCTCAAGATAGTAAAGGGGTTTTCCGGCATAGAACTAATCAGCCTCTTCGTTCCTGCTCCAGATTGTGGCACTAGAGGTCATAGCCTTAAACTGCAACGAGAGCACTCCAGGTTGGATTTGAGGTCCAAGTTCTTCATGAACCGTGTGGTGCCTTTGTGGAACAGATTACCGGAGAATGTTATAAGCTGCTCAACAGTGGTGGCCTTTAAAAAGGCATTGGATCTGTGCTAGGACATGGTATTTCCGGAGCTGGCCACTTGAGAGGCGACGAAGGAACAAGGTAAGTTCGTTTCTGTATCTTTTTGTTTCATTTACACATATCTGGTGGATGTGATACCACACCTGAAAATTCTGCCTTTCAGAAACAAAAGTCGGAACGAACGTTTGAGGAGCAGTGCTGAAAGCCAAGGCAACTAGCTGATAACACAACGATCTGGACGCACGATTGGTCTCGAGCACTTCCGTCCTTTGACAACTGAACTGAACTTTACTGTATATATTGAAGAATCATCAAACAAAACTTACAAAATCTAACTTGTCCAGGTCATTCAAATAGTAATTTATAAAATGAATAGGAGTGCAGACTGCATGCAAAGCAGGTCTACAAGTCTTGTGGATAAACTATAATGAATCAATTACCGTGTTCTTAGATGCTTGAGAACGATGTCTTCAGTTACGTTCAGTGTAGAATGTGTCAAGACAATGGGAGTGGGAATGGTGTATAGTTCCGAACACCGGCATTGATCGTGAGAGTATTACGGGTGATGAGCAATCCTATGTACGACCATGACTAGTCAATGTATGTTATAGACCAAATTCTGAAATCGACTATTTTAACATCAGCTGCGTGAAAGACATGCGGTCGATTACCAGGAAGGAGAATAGTGTGAACACTTAGCAGTGCGTATGTGCCTAAATAGTTCGCGGAATGTGATGTTTACAACGTGAGCTGTGCAACTCACATGCAACAGATCACGAAGAAATGGTAATTTCATTTCATCGAGTAAATTCGTAGAGCTAGGATGAATAGACAACTAGAGCGAAAATCGATTATAAACACTTGAATCTACAAAACGGACTGCCTCAAGGGGACGCAAAAGTGTACGGATGAAAAGGAGGCAACATCTGAACAAGTCTTCATGCTAAAACCGACAGAAATTACTGGTTAGTGTTTTTGGAAGTAAAAAACGTCAAGTGCCACTATTTGGAAAATTATACCAAATGCCCCGACGGCAATACTTGGGAGCAAATTTGGGTGATTGGCAGCTTAGTTCAAAACCCGCTGTGTTGGGATCAGGAGAAATTATGGGGTGTTCAATCAACCAGTCGAGGGAGATGCTACCTTAACTAAAGCGATTGATAAAATAAGCGCTACCTAGAGTGCCTGTAGGTAGAAAACATCAGACGACCTTGAGACACCGAGGCGACGGAATCAACGGGCTACAAGAGGTCCTAGTTGAAAACAACAGCAAGGCATCACGCAGATTTTGTTTGTACTAGTAAATACCCCGTTGCAAACATCACTCAACTGCTTTATATCTGTATCTCATTCGTGTTTCTTTTCAGAAGACAGAATGTACTGTCAAGTTATTTGTGTTTTACTTCAGAGGACAAACTAAAGACCAGGTACCAAGTCTACATTTGCGTGGACGGAGGAACTGATTTAGATAAGGTGACATCACCAGCACAATTTTCAAGGTGTGAGAATTCAGACACCGGTATACTAGTGTACGTACATTGAACACTACACTCCATGGTATCTCACGGCTATTACGCAGAGAATGTGGTAATGGTATCGCGAAAATGGTTGGCAATCGACGAACTACGTTTCCAACAGAGTAACCATTCATAGTTTGATGCCACCTGAAACCAGCATACATAGAGCTTTCGACTCACCTAGGACGTAGCAGGTGTGTGAGTGTAGTCCAATTAGTATACTTGAACATATCTGCAGTTCATACAAAGGTTGGGTTACACTGAAGTTGGAAAAGGGAAGTGAGGACTTTTTGAGGAAACATCAAGAACCTCCATAAACAAACTTATTCAGAAATTGAAAA